GCATCTGAATACATCTGAACAATGTTTGCCAGCCGTGGTGGCAGCGGAGGAGGCAAAGGGGGGAAATACTCGGTGGAAGACCTCTATGGCATCAGCAAGAAGCCCAAGGCTTCGTCCTCCTCCGGGAGCATCGTGGCCAAGTCCGGAGCCCGGAGCAGCAAGACCTCGGAACAGAGGACCGAGTCGGAGGCCTTGGCTTCTCAGATCCTGGAGGCGGCCCACAGGCTGGTGGAGCGACGCCGGCTGGAGCTGTACCTGAGAGAATGTGGCCTCTCCCTGGCCGAGTGCGAGGCTGAACGCTCTGCAATGACATACAGGTGAGAGAAAGAGATCAGAAAGAGGTGAAAGCACAGCAAAATAAAAAGATGTTGATTTAAAACACCTTAGAATTTTAGATTCTTTTAATGAGTAGTGCTGCATTCAGGGAAAACACAACTGAATATGTACATAAATGTGCCACACCTACACATTTGATAAGATTTTTCAGCTGCTTCTTGGAGGGAGAGACAACTTAACCGAGCCATCTGCGGATGATCCAGTTAAATCACTCGATTAATATCTTTCTAATATATTACTAATGCATGAATGTTGTTGGAAGACGAGTGCAATTGAAGGCAGTGAGTGAAGATATCATTCGTGGGTGAAAAAAGAAAATTAAAAAAAAAAGAAATATATTTGCATTTCTTTTTTTTTTCCCACCGGTGACCTAGAAAGAAATATCAGGCGTTTGATGAGATTTCAAAGCAGGAGGACTGCTGAATAAACGTGGCCGGACTGCAGAAGCATCTGGTTGCTCAGGATCACTAATGGGACTTGTACGTGAGCCATTGTCTAATTTCCTACAGCCCGACGGGGTCAGCATCAGTGGTGCAGAAGTTTCGGGTTAATGATGCGTGATTTGACAGCAGGGGACAGTTGCTTGTTACAGTGCTCCCTGTTTAAAATGACTGTGGGACGCAGAGGTTGCAGTGGCAATTTTTTCTTTTTGGAATTTTATAATGAGTATGAATGAGTAGAAAAAAAATAACACAGAAGTATGAAAGTTAAGGTGATGCATTTTTCATCGTTGTTGATGTGTGTGTATGTAAGATGGTGGTTTATTTGTGGATGTATTAGCTGCTAAAAAGTACTAGCGTATGGATGTATTTGTGTCTTTTTCGTTACACAATATGGCGTTTTTATTATACGCCGTATCCCAAACATACTCACAGATTTAGACTCCTGTAAAAGTCGCCTCTAGGTGGCAGCGTCACCCTGGTGTGAGGACAAACCAGCCCTGTGACACAATGACTCGAAAAGGAACAACATCTGCAGCCTAAAGGGCACCATCTGTAAAAATCAAGTTACAGTTGCACACAAATATGCCCAATTTAGGCTCAAATCTAGAACTTACCTCACTGAGGCATTTACTGGTTCTATACATTTTGATAACTGGAATCAATTAATGCCTCATCAGAGTATGATTCAGCTGATCCTCTCCACCTCTGGCAGATCGACTCCCATCACTTGAACTGGCTCTTAAATTTTGTAATGGCAGCGGTTTCACTCAGCCTCTGTGTTCGTGTGATACGCTAGCCTTGGTTAATTTGTTGATTGCTCGTAATCAGCGTAGAAGCTGCATCAACATCCACCGTGATGCTCTCTCTAATTTTCTAGTTTCGCTGGAAACAAACACTCTCCACATCTGCTGATCTGCTGCGAATTTAGGAAAGTGAGACGGATACTTACATTTTGACAAATAGATTACGAGTGCCGAAAGCATAATCTTCCCTTTTAATGAAATAAAGCTTAAAGGTTAGACTTATTTAAACACATTACAGTCAGATAGAGGCAGAATTTTGATGGATTATATCAGAGTAAATCTACTAAAAGCACTGTCCTCCTTTTTTTTTTTGACAAACTGAATTGCTTTAAGATGAGCTAAAGCCATAAGAAAAACAAGATGTCTGAGGGAGCGCTTCAAAGTCACAGTGTCAGTGCGGATAAATGCCTACAGCAGTCTTAAACTACATGCACATTTCATGTTGAGGCCCACCACAAACAATTCTCAGCATTCTTTCTTCCTATTTTTGTTCAAGCATGTCAAAACCAGCCAAAAGCCAGCCAAAACCAACGTGTCACTGTGGGAGATGTCTTTCTGGACTCCATCTAGATTTCTTGTTCGAAAACATTTTCACGTTATTATTGTTTTTTCGCCATATGTTCCCTCAAAATGTTAGATGGAAATGTAGCTGAAGGGGTCAAAGGTCATGTCATGAGAGAAAGCATTATGTAAATATGCTTAAGCATTTTATCTCGGATGGAGACTTTGCAGTTTAGAGAGGATCACAGTTGGAAAAGACATACTTTGTAATGAGCTTTGGTGCCGAGGTCTGATGGCAGAGTTGTATAAACCATCAACCATCTCAAGGACGTTCACATTATACAATCTGTTGTATAATGTCTTTCCTTAAGGAAGACTGCATTTCTCATGGCTTCACTTTCACACGTCCTCCTTATTAGCAGGAAAGCGAATCGACATTTCTGGTCGTGTCGCTCCAGATCTTGGAGATGGAGCATGAAAGCCAAGCGAAGCCCCAAAGTGTTGGTGATGCTCTCAGTTTCAGCGCAGTGTAGCCTCTGAACTGTCGGGCAGGCTGAGTCAGTGTGACTTCCGTATAAAGTGATGATGGACATTATTTGGAATGAAAGTGAAGGTTAAGCTCATGTGGAGATAAAGATTTAGTTATTATGCTGATGTTTGGATATACAAAATCATGCAGCGTTTTAAGAGGAGTGGAAATGATTAAACCCTCTCCTCTTTTTTTAAAACGTGTTCGTAATTTCTGTCTGCCTTTACAGCTGGAAACTCCCTCCATCCCCAGAAAAAGCAGCAGTGAATAGCTCCTTTTAAAAAAAGAGCTGATTGCCAAGTCAAAGTTGTGCTGGCAGCTGACTGCCATGCAATCCGCTCTGGGACTGTGCACGTTTGCTCTAAAAACAAGACTTCATTAGATGTGAGAACAAATTGACAGAAATGATGAATGCGCGTGTGTGCGTGTGCATTTTTTTTTCTAATCTTTATTTTGCACAAGCGAGATGTTTTGCAGATTGGCCCTGCTAGCGTTGAAGCAGTCGCTTGAACGTGGACCGAAACTTTGCGGATTGACAGTCTTCTCCGAGGGGGGGATGTGGCAGCACGGTTTAAACCATAAACACGGCCTTGAAGGGACTATTATCATTGCCTGCATGGTCACCAAATGACACATCCATTTTATTTTCATATGATGTGATGTGATGCAACATGAAATGATATGCCATGCATTGCTGTGGCGTGATGTGATGTGATGTGGCTCGGGAGTCATGAATCTGCCTCTATTTCTGAAAAAGAAAAACGTTGCAGATTTGTTTGGGATACATAGCAGATGAAGCTTGGAAACATGGGTGTGGTAGAGTAGACTCTTGGAAGAAAAGAAAAAAAAAACAGGGGGGAGCCACGTGTGGAGATTTAGTGTAGACTAAGTGGAATATAAAGAATTACTGCCATGTCAAGGCTCTCTTTTCCTGTGTGTGTGCATGTAGAGATTATTTTGGTGCAGCCAGCTGAGAAGCAAGAATCCATGTGAGGATGTGATGAAATGTATGTACACCAGCCAGTGTGATGAAAAATGTAGAGATCACACCCGAGAGAGGAGAGAGAGGGAGAGAGAGAGAGGAACACACTCATAGCCAGAGAGAGAGAGAGAGAGAGAGAGAGAGAGAGAGAGAGAGAGAGAGTATCTTGCAAACCCCCACACTGCTTGTGTGTCGTGAACATTTTGGAGCCTAGAAAAACGGGAGGAAGAAGAAGAAGAAGAAGAAAGAAAAAAAAAAAAAGGCGGACTCTAGAACTGACAAAATGATGCTGAGGGAGAACCGAGAGGCGGCATCGAGCGTTTGAAATGTCTGCTGCAGCTGATTTTTGGGCCACTATGCCGGCGTTTATTTCACATCCGTGCACCGTGAGATTGTGTCGAATAACGGGAGACCTGCACAACTGCTGCCGGTATGTGAACTACTCCACACACTGAAGGTAAAAAAAAAACAAAAAAACAACAACAGCAGCAGCACCGGTTCTTGTGTTTGCAGAATTTTGTTGCTGATTCCTCTCCATCTCTCTCTCCTTTCTCTCTCTCTCCTTTCTCTCTCTCTCTTGCATCAATTTGATGCTGCGTGAAGCTGCTGGGCGATGATGCATCGGTGGGGTTTGACTGTGTGAATTCGCATCACATCAAGTCTGGACTGTAAATGTAAATTGCCAGTTTTTTTTTTTTCTTCTTCTCTTCTCCTCGCTCTTCCCTGACCCACCTTGCGACAAATAAAAAATACATTGAAAAAAAAAAAAAAAAAGATGCCTTATTTCGACGCGAGGTGCCAGGATGCCTGTAGCTGTGGTTGTGTCATTGCTGCGGCACACTCCGGAGCTCCTCAGCTCAAGACAGACCCAACTAACCTCAGCTGAAGAGAATCAGCAAGCTGGCAAAAGTGCTTTATCAATCAACATATAAGCCATAGGAGCCTGTGCATGTATGTGGGAGGAGGCCGAGCGACTGGCACTCTTGAGGGGAGGCATCTCTTGCACTGAGGTTTTGGGGGCTTCCCAAGAACTGCCACATCCCCAAATTCGTCTGAGGACTGCTGTGAGCTTACAAGCCTCCTGATGGTTTCTGGAGGGCAGCCCTGATGCATCGTGCGAGTGTGAAAACTCCAAGAGCCTTCTGCCAGGTTTGCACCACCAGACAGGAGACGGAGCAGACGGCAACTCTGTGTGTGTCATGTTAGAGGCTGGACTCTCGCCTGTTCCCTCCAACTCTCAGCCAAAATCTCTGACCTGCCCTGTCTGAGCCCTTTGCATCTCTGCGTTGCCACGACAGCACGACTGGGGAGACAGTGTCAAGCGGTTTTGTAGACATTATTGTTGGTGTGACTTCCTGTAAAACCGCTCCGACTCTACGTGAGAGACTCCAAAAACCTGGGTCAGGATGCAGGTGTCCTTCGCATGCACTGAGCACAACCTCAAGAGTCGCAGTGAGGACCGGCTGTGTGGCCTTCGCACCGCTCCACCTCCCGGAGGAAGCAGTGGGGGAGTAGGGGGAGGCGGCGGAGGAGGAGGAGGTGGCGGCGGTGGTGGCAGCGGAGGAGGAGGAGGCGGCGGCGGCGGCGGAGGCGGAGGAGGTAGTGGACAAGGGAGCAATGGCAACTACATGACCCAAGGCTCGGTCAAGACCAGGGAGGGGCCCGGGTCTCGCCAGACTCCACAGGGCCATGCCCACATGAAGGAGGCCATCGGGCGCCACACCAGTATGAAGTACAGGTGAGTATGGGCCTGAGAAGGAGGAGGAGGAGGAGGAGGAGGAGGCGAGGAGCTCCAGGGCTCAATCCACTTGGCTCGGGGATGGTTTTTCATTTCACTTTCGGCCTTTTGACCTCGGCATTATCTCCCGAGTGTTAGATTATCATAACGAGCATCAGACGCAATAATCCTCCCACCGAAACAAGGTGACAGGTGATGAGTTTGGGCCTCCTCTCACGGTGAAGCTCTACTTTTCTTTATTCCTCATCCTGTCAATCTCTTTATCGAGATATGAGGTGAATCTGAGGTTAGCTTGAACCGTCAGCCTCCTGTAACACACTGTGCAGACTGCCTACATATCCATTAGCCAGATGACAAACACCTCGGCGAGTGCACAGACAGCGCTGATTCCTCTGACATTATAAAAAATATGACATTTACTTCTAAAAATGCTTACGCTTGTGGATGTGGAGATGCTTATATAATCCATACCGAACAACCACAATGCTATCACAGTATGGCAGACTTTTTTTTTGCATATGGTAGTATTTGCCATAGACTTTATGTAGATTTCTGCCCTGACCTCTTTGCTCATCGCAACAGATTAATAAAAGAAAGAGCCTGCTTTCAATAACAGCTTTGCTAAAATCACCCCAGGACACCCAGCTTTTTTCTTGGAGGTTTTAAAAAAAGCATTTAATTTTCATAAAATAGCGTTGCTGCAGACTATCTTATGCACACAAATCCACTGTTACACACACCAGGTCTGAGTCATAATGTAGGAAAGAAAATAAGGCCAGATAAACAGCAAGAAAAGAATGTCATTTGTGTTTTTTACCGACTCAGAATTAGATTCTGTTCACCTTGATGGATTAGAGCGTCAGCTTGACAAGGACAGCTGTTCGTGCAGTCCCCACTCACAGAGGGGTTTTGTGGAAAATAATGCACATAAAAAACACAATGCATGCACTTTAACATTACTCTGAAGACCAAAGCCTCGTGCCATACGTTTCCCTCATTTAGACTGTAAAATTCAATAACTAGGAGGAGAGTTTTAACGACCTGTTTCCCTAGTAATCAGGTTGATTGAATTGCTGCCATTCTCTTCAGTCAATTTAGTTTTCATTTAATAGGATACTTAAAAAGGGAATGAGGCACAAGACAAAACTGGGATATCTCCACTTCTATTTATTTCCTCGAGAATTGCAGACATACTTTTGATTGGGTTGGATTATTCTGGTTGTTCTGCTGTCTCCGGAAAAGTGTCACTAATAGGGAGTGCAGCAGCACAATAAGTCTATACAGCATATGGCCAGCTCCAGTTGCCATTGGCAACACCCCAGGCATTGCCTTTAGTTTTTTGTCTTATTTTCTAATCAGCCAGCACTGCTGTCGCTTATCAGTCCTTTCTACGACTGAGTCGGCTTGAAGCTCCACCACCTGGCCACAGTCTGGTTGTGGCAGTGCGTTGTTCGCACATTCTGCATTTTCACACCGTAGTAACAATCAGACTGAGACCAGGAGGAAACAGGAACGTACATAAAACATGTCTGAATGCTGCGCGAGTGAGGCTGTGTGTATAAGGTGCTGGAGATTTCCTGAAATGATTGAGGGCAGATGATTATCACAGCAGAACAGAAGTGAACAGTCGATTTGGTCTCAGATGCATCCCATTTTCTGTATGGTACCTATATTTGCTCTGTTTGACTACATGTTTTCTAATTCCCCCCCTGCTATCTCATTAACCTGAGTAATTATGGTCTCAAACGAAGGGCCCTGCTGCCTGTTACAACTCCCATGAGCCCCCGCTGCCACCCAGCACCACAGCTCTAACTGTGTGCCTCTCTTTCTTTATATCCCTTCTGTGAGCTACGTTTCAGGCTAAGTCCCTTTAAAATACTCCCCCTTTTTTTTAACCTTTTTTTTTGCATTGCATTGCATTGCAGTATTGTGTGTGCCTGTGTGTGTGTTTGCAGTTTTTAAGACAAAAAAAGAAGTGGTTGGAGGGGCTACTGTAACAGACAGTTGTGTAACTCAGCAAATTGTCTAGTTTCTATAACCAGGCTGTCTCTTTTCACCAGCTGCAAGCTGGTAAGCCGGTCTTGTTTGTTCCTTGTTTATTTGCACATTTCATAAATGATATAAAGTGCAAAAAAAATGAATAAAAACATGACAAGGTAGTAGTCATACAATTTTTTAAAAATGTGCAAGCAGAGCCAAAACAGCCAAAAGGTCCAGTTTCACATCACAGCAAAAATCTTTCACTTGGAAACATCTACAATCAGCATCTGTGTGCTCATCTGTGCAAACCAGATTTTACATTATTCAGAATGGAAAGTTACTCAGATTTAACAATTAAGAGTTTCCTAACATTGTTTTTTTTTTTTTTGAAAACACGTGGGGTTGAGTTTACAAAAATACTGAGAATACAACTTCCAGTAATTTAGCAAAAGGTATTTCCAGCATAGATTTATCTGTCACCGTGTCTCCCACATTTGCAAAGTTAATGGCCACAGGGCACATTGTGTTAGTTAGGCAGGCAGCTGGACGCTTCTCTAACTTAATGCATGAGTGAAGGCGGCGCATGTGTGTCAACATTCAGCGCTGTGACGCACGGAGAGTAGTTGAACGTTTGAGTCAAACTGTTTAGGAAAATGTTGGTGTTACGCTCTGAAACAGCTTCTCGACAGCAGGAAAGACAGGAAGGAGTTCAGGAGTGATGACACAAGACAAGAATGTCACTCTGCTGGATCTAAGTCTGTCATCTCTGGGTTGTCAGGGACTGAAACAGAGCTTTTGGCAACATTTTGGTTCTGCGCAGTGAATTTAGCTCGTAATTTGTGATATAAATAGTTTGACATGAAGATTGAAACCACTCTCAAGCAGCCGGCTAGTTTAGCTTAGCACAAAGACTGAAGATGGAGAGTGTCAGCCGGTTGCCTGGCAGCCTCATAGATACATGGAGACTGCAGGAGGTGAGTGCACCTGGCCAAGCTGAAGCCACAACCTTGTGAAGACATTCCAGTTTTTGTGAGAATGAAACAAACAAGAAGCAAGTTAAAGCTGCAGTAGGCAGAAATCTGAAGGAATGTGAAACTGTTCGGCCTCCCGTCTCCGTCCTGAGCTGCTCCCAGCAGACGAGCAAACACGCAAAAGAGCTAAAAGTCAACATTCATTTGTGGTTTCACCTGGAGTGAAACCTCTCTCTCCCGAATGAACTAAGCCACCACGTTCTGCTCTCACTGTGCTATTTATACAATCTCATCTGATCAGTACAAAGGCCCCGTGATTGGCTCAAATCTCCCATCATCAGCTAAATTTTCCAAAGCCAGAAAACTGAGCCAGGAGGAGGTGAAGAACTTCCTCTCAGACCACTTGAATTTCAATATGCTAAAAGGTTAGTGTGGAGTTTTTGCCCAGTCATGCCAAACAATACTGCTTACCTCAGCTTTACTGAGCGTTACAGTTCAGTGGCCTTAGTCGGTGTCTACTGATCTTTGAATAATAGTCATTTTAGAACAAAATCACTGTTCCTGTAGCAGCGCTAAGCTAACAGACACAAGTGATAAAGTAAAGTTCAGCTCAATTCAGCCTTTATTTGTTTTTTGATCAAATGGCTCGAACACAAAATCCACTTACGAGTTTTTTCAACACATTTGAATCACATCTCAAGCCCTCGAAAAAGTTTGTTAGATTATTTAGTCAGGCCTCTGTTTCTGTAATGCATCGTTAAACACTTGCTGCTCCTGTTGCTCTCACGCTGATTTCATCTTCTTGAACTCTGATGTTCGCTATTGACACGACTTCAAGCAACGTCACATGAAAGGCCAACCGCAATCTGAGTTGTTACATCAGACGATACCCGTCGAAAGGTGATATCATCGCAGGGCAAAATACTGTAGTGGCGATACCTGAAATTCGGCTGCATGTTTAACTTTTGCATCAGGAGTGTTCTGACATTCAGCCATGCGGAGAGGTGCCGTTCTCCGACAGAAGCACACTCGAACAGGGAGCTTTGAAAGGCTTTAATCGGAGCAGCTGATGAAGTAATGGTTCAGTCGCTGGTAGTGATGAACAACCCTGTCAACTTTTACAGATATATTGTGGTCATTTAGCGCTCAGAGACAGCGATCCGGCCCCGGCGTGATCACTCTCACAGCATGCGCCCTTGTTGCAGTCAGATTGTGCCGTTGTCTGTGCTCTGAGGGCAGCGTGACGTCACGGCTTCGCTTTGTTGATTTTACCTCGCACTCACAATTTAAGATAAAATAGCAGAGTATTCCCACTTCTGTAAAACCCGGTGGACACCCGGTAATAAATTCCAAGCAGCGGCACAGTGAACATGTATTTCAGGAGTGTAGCTTCATCATTAACAATCAAGTGATAATTAAGCAATTTGGCCTCATATTGTTGCCATGATTAACAATCACGGGAAACAAATGGTTTGTGTAGCAGGGAGGAGAACAAGACAGCAGGCGGCTACAGTCTTGACCTTCAACTCTCCTCTCTCTTGCTCTCTCTGGATTCCTTCTCTTTTTTTTTTTTTGTTACGTTTCCAGTTGACTTAACAGATTAGTGACTCACTTTGAGGTCCAACAAGTTTGGAGCAAAGTCACTCCATATCTTCGCTTGCTTCCTTTCAAGCTGGCTCGTAACCAAAACATATCCAACCTATGATCCGTTTTTTTTTAACGCTTCACTCCGGCTGCTTATTTCATCTGCCACCCACTAATATACATTAGCAGGTTTGCTGAACGTTACAGTGATAAATTGTGGAACCGAACAAGGCTGTTGTTGTTTGCGCAGCTGCGTGTCGAAGAACTTGAAGCGATTTAAGAACTCTCGCTTAGGAAAGTACATAAAGCAGATGACTTAATCTCTTCAAAATGTGAAGTGACCTCCGGGTCGGCGTTGTTTTGACGAGGCTTACATCCATCAATAATTGACTGTGGATGGAAGCGGCAATCAGCAAGCTTGTTCTGAGCTGTGAGCGTCATAATCAGGGCCAGAAAATCCAAATC